GACACCTAAATTCAATGCCTCTTTTCCCTTCTTAACGCACATAATTGCCAATGTTAAAGCTCCACACAGACCGACCAGATGTAAATAGCTCAGAGCTGCACAAGATTATGTGTTTTGATCAGAAGAAAATGTTTGAATACCTTTTAAGGCCAGATTACTGAACCCAGCATCTTCATGTGTTCATAAATTTTCTATGCACAAGAAATCTTTCCAGTGACTGCCAGGAGTGTTGACTCCAACCCTGATAGTTTTGACCACAAAACAAATACCTTGTTATTGGATTTTATCTATGTCCAGATGAGAAAAGAAAAACACTAGATTGGAGAGTAGATTAAATCAGAGGGAAGGCAGGCTGCTCATAATTCCTACCTCTTGTGAAAGAGCAAGAGCCCCTCCATGTTAATAAAACTTCATAAATATTTTACTAATATAAAATGGAATGCAATATATTCATGCCAAGAGACAAGAAAGTGGCCTGAGCTCCCAGATAGCTGCTCTTGCTTCAATTTTGTGCAATTTGCAAGCTGGCACATAGAATCAGAAGCCCAGGACTATTGAGACCTCCGGGATGGTCAAGACAAAGGCACCTCACAAAGGTCCACCAGTGTGAACTTAAGAGCAGTCAAGATTGCAGTGATCTACACAGCATCTAAAAGTCCTCTGAAAGCAAATTTCAGTCCTGAAATACTTTTACATTTGCATTTAAGTGGCAAATTATTATGGAAAACTAAGTATGGGGTTTCAGAGAGTCTCCAAGATCTGTGCAGACAGGGGTTCCCCCAAATCCAGCACGACACAGATGGAATTTGTGAGAAAGGACTGCTAAGAAATGAGGGAGAAATTTTAATGCTAACAGTTTCTCAGATTTCAAAAGTTTGGTTTGGTTTTGCTCAACATTTTAGAAGGAGAAAAATGGCTTTAGCCTACTACAACTCCACTTAGGAACAGGGAAAAAGAAAATGAATTATAAGGTTTCAGATACAGCTTGGGTGGCCAGCAACAGCAGAATTTGAGGAAAGTCAGCACGAAACTGACAGCTGTGGTGATGCAGAGCATTACCGAGGCTGGTGTTACGGCTCCGTACTTCAAGCTGATATAAATACAAAGGGGCCCACAGATAACAGCCTTTTAGGATTCAAGGCTTCAGTAGAAACATCCTCATTGCCTTCAGCCTGCTTTGGATCTGTCCCAGAAGTCGACTATTCCCCAGTCAGAGTCTAGATTCAGCGAGACAAAATGCTGCTTTCAGAAAGCTATTGTAGATCTTTAAATCAGAACTAGGCAATTGCTCAGAAGATGCTGGGAAAGACTCAGCCTTGTGAGAGAAACATCTACCAACCAAACAATTCACACGTTACCAAAGACAACAATGAAAGAAGGCCCAGGACTGGTTCCATTGCTTTTAAAAATAAGCATTTTTAATAACACACACCAAGGATACAATATTAATATTAAATCATTTGTGACTATTTACACTTCTTTGGCTGAAGCAATTTTTGTTGTTGTGATTTTTTTTTCTCACTAGGAAAAACTTGACCAACAAATAACCAATTACTTAGTTCGCAAATTCAATTACCTCCCATTCCAAAGACCAGGGATTTCAAAATCTCTTTAAGAAAAGAAAAGAAAAAAGAAATAATACCCTTCAACCCAAATATTTTTGTGTTGTTTATAATAATAAACAACAGATTTCATATAAAAGCAACACCACGAGGGCAGAAAAAAGTGTTCCAAAGCTAATTTTAGTCCTGCTGATCTCAGGAGCTTAGTGTTCCTGTCAGACTGAACAGACTCCAGTGGTGCCCTGCCTGCCTGCCTGCCTGGAGAAATCTGTCCCTGGAGTTCTATTTATAGCACTTTGTACCCTATACCTAGATTGGTTTTTATTTTGCTTTGTTTTGTTTTGTTCTGTTGTTAGAATGGAGCAAGTATCCAGGACTGTGTTGATCCAAGACACAGATGTGACCTACTCAAGTAAATTACCAGAAAAAAAAAGAAGTGTCAAAATTATTCACACTTCGTTTTCTGCACATCAGTCCCCTGGACTTCAACAGCTAGCCAAAATTCAGTCCCAAAGGTTATTTCTATTTAAAGGAGAAATTGATGACAGAATCAAGTATATCTCTGACAGAAACCCATCTGCTTACATACAACACAGCATCCTTTTACCTGCAATAAGGTAAGAACAAATAATCATATCTTTTTCCTTGGTGGTTCTCATTCAAATTTAGACAGTACCATATTCAATCCCTTCATAATTTTCTCCTTAGAGACAGCATTCCTACTGCAATCTCTGGATGTTTCTCCCTCATTAGCACCATTTTTTGTGGCTTGTTTCACTGATTCTTATGTCATACATAGGCAACTCCAGCAATCATTACCTACCCTGTGTTTGCTTTATGAATTCCCAGGGAAAATCCCTTATGTCATAAAGTTTCTTTATGTAGATCTTGCCATGTCATTCTGTGTTGGTTGTGACCCTGTTATTTCAACTACCTGGATCCATAATGACTTTAACTACTTTTTAAACACTTACTGTGCTCATCAGCTTCACTGAATTTTACCCAGTCCATAATCATATCCCTTCAGTTCCACCCAGTCTTCCATCAAACCAAAATGGCTACAACTGAACCCTTTCAGCCCAGAAAGAGAAATGCTTTAACAAAACTACTAGTTATATTGTAAAGAGTGACTATCAAGCATATTTTCATATTTCCGCTCCTCAAAAAAAGTCTGATTCCAGCAGTGTCTCCCTGCAATTTTTTGACTATTTGTATAAAACCTGCCCACCAAAAGGGAGCTGTAACTCCTCATGCCCCCCACCAAGAGCAGATATCTTCTACTGGATGCAAGTGATGAACCTATTTCCCAAATGTTTGTCATCTAGACAGAAGAACAGAATTCATGCAGGCACCCTAATCTTCAGGATAAAATCTGCCAAACTCGCCTAAATGACCTTTAAACAGAAACAGCAGGAATTAGAAACAAGCAGAACTACGAAACAGTAAACCACTCCTGCTGTTAGGCTGCCTTTGCTAGCCAGATGACAGCCACAAATCGAGAAGGCATAGCAACTAACTGATGGGTAGCAATGTCTCAAACTTCAACTTCACATTAGGGCTCCAGTTACATTCACCACTCAGGGCTGCCAAGAGAGGTAGCCCTCTTCCCTCATCCCTCCCCCAGTTTCTTCTCTGTGGGACATGTACTTTTGCCAAGCCCTTGCTCCAGCGCACATTTGATTGCAGCACGAAGCCAATTCCACTCACTAAAACAGCGGAAAGTAAATTGGTTTTGGCTGAAGAGCAAGTGGAATTGGATTATTGTGCGATAAAGCAAGCACTAGGGTTGGTGCAAGACAGAGGAGAAGACAAGCTGAGTTGTACATGTGAAGGCAGGAACAGCAGAAGAGGTCTAGGTGAGGTGAGAATGGTAAACAGCAAAAGAAGCTGTTAACACAGCTCACCCAGAGCAGGGAATCACAGTCTTACCACAGTTCAAAACATATGCACTGAGCATTCAATTCTCATACATCTCCTCATTTTAGGGACAGCAGCTCCTCTGATACCTGCATGTTACTTACAGGGGATTTTGGATTTAGCTCTAGCAGGGGACTGCACTAACAGTTACGCATCTTAAGGCCAAATCCAAGAAGTGCTGGTACTCCAAGCGTGCTGCAGTGAAAGCCCTGGGAAAAAAAGGGATTTTATGGTCCCAGGTCTCGTGCAGGGTAGTGCCACCACCTAGGGAAGCTTTCCAAGGCTCAAGATTAGTCAGGCATAGTGCCATGTTAACACCACCATCCTGTTTGTCAGGGACAGATTGCTTTTGTGTACAGAACTACACAACCAACAAGCCATTTGTTGCAATGAAAGGTTAAAGGGCCCTGTCCAGGCTCTCTCCAAAAGAAGATTATAAACCCCAACCAAAAGCATCCTGAGGGGACCAACATGCCGTTCCTCTGTAAGAAAAACATCACAGGTTGGCAGTGAGTCGACAAAGCCCTGCAAATGCACCACAGTGAGGGCTTTCAGCAGACCACCAAGAAAGAAGGCATTCAAATGGTTGGTTATCCAAAATGCGCCTCTGCACCAGAGGAGAGTTTAGCTGCTTACCTCAGTGTTCAGCCTGTCTAGCATAATACAAGTTTCCCCCATTTTCTTTTACCTTCTTTCCTCCTCACACCTTGTCCTGCGGAGCTTTCTGCCCTGAATGCTGCCAGTCAACGGAGGTGGCTTTAGAAAACCAATAAGGCAACCTGCGGGGACCTTGAATTTCAATTTTATTAACCTTCAGGTTTTATATCCTCTGGGGGGTTACCAGATTCTTCCTCAGCACTGCGGGGTATTAGAACCTCATTTTATTAAATTAAACAAAGCCTGGGGTTGTCAACACTCCCAGACACCAACCCACTCCCACAGCCCTCCTTTCCTTATGTTGCCCAGAGAAGGGCAATGAATCTGGTGAAGGGTTTGGAGCGCATGTCCTATGAGGAGCGGCTGAGGCAGCTGGGGTTGTTCATCCTGGAGAAAAAGAGCCTCAGGGTTGACCTTATTGCTCTCTACAACCCCTGAAAGGAGGTTGTATCGAGGTGGGGGTTGATCTCTTCTCTCAGGTAACTAGCAAGAGGACAAGAAAACATAGTCCCAAACTGTGCCAAGGGAGGTTTGGCTTGGACATTAGGAAGAATTTCTTCACACGTAGGGTGATTAGACCATGTAATGGACTGCCCAGGGAAGTGGTGGAGTCTCCGTCCCTGGAGGTGTTTGACTAAAGACTGGATGTAGCACTCGGTGCCATGGTCCAGTTGACGTGGTGGTGTTCGCTTATAGGTTGGAGGGGATGATCTCAGAGGTCTTTCTTTTCCAACATAACTGGCTCTGCGATGCCGATCCCCGCCGCGGCGGCCGTTCCCAGCAGGGCGCGGGCAGGGCCGCACCTGGGCCGGGCCGCGGCGGGCGGGAGGCGCGGCGGGCGGGGGTGGGAGCGCGGCCGGGCACGGCAGGGCCGTCCCGGCTGCTCCCGGGAGCTGCGGCTGGGCGGGACGGAGCTCGGCGCTCCCCTCAGGTGAGGTCCGCTGGCCTTGGCCCTCGGGGTGCCGAGGGACGGGCTCTTCCCAGAGGAGCAGGCGGCGGGTGGGCGGCGAAGGGGGCGCCTTCTTCCCCGGCGGGCGGTGCGTGGTGTGCGCCATTTGTGCGGGGGCAGCACCCGTGGCAGGGCCAGCCCGGGGGGGCGAAGGGGGTCTCGGCTCGCTGTGGTGGCGCTGTGGCGGCGGGACCGACACCGGGAGCCTTTCCCGTGGGGAAAGGGCGCGGCTGCGGAATGGCTTCTTCCCGGAGGAGAGGAGCTGAGCCGCCTCCGGGGAAGGCGCCGTCTCGTTCGCTGTTAGATGTAAACAAATAAAAATTAATGTTTTAAAATATTATATTTATATTTGTTTACTTTATAACACCCTAAGGAGGTGGCGGGATGTCATTAAGCGAGCCCTCAGCTTGATCAGTCGAAATTAAATCGACTGCAGGCATTTCTGCAGAGATGGTGAAGGCAGATGGTAATAAAGATGTTTGAAGTCTGCGTTTCCCTATTTTACAGGTTTGGCCTTAGTTGTACCAGACTTGAAAAGGTAAAGACGCAAGAAATAACATCCCGGTAATATTTAACATGAAATTATCAGGTTGTATCTTCTCGTCAGCTTGTATTGGGGCCGGCAGAGCTTTGCCCGTACCTAATGCATATGCAAATCAGAGGCAGCGTTGGGTGCTGACTCTGTTTACACCCCTGGGTGCTCTCCTCGTTGAAACTCACAGGACAAAGGTCAATGCCTGCCCTTTCAGACTTGCCCTGCCACCGGTGGCAGCTATGTGCACACTCATGCAAGGCACTGGCACTTGCTGGGCTTAATATTTTACGTAAGAGTCAACGTTAGACAAGCCAAGATTCGTGTTCTTGGTGGACGCCATGCCTTGTCCTGGCAGCAAAGGCAGGAGAGTCAGAGCAGACCTAGTAAATAAGCAAAACGCAATAAATGTTGAATATAGAAACATTACATTTACTTGATGAGGACATAGAGAAAACCTTCCTGCTTTAATGAAGTTACCTTACTTGTAGTTTAAAGGGTTTTACTTCCTTCACCTCTTAAGGAAGTCTATACTAATTCTTGAATCAGCTTGAAATGGAAGCGAGTGCTGGTCAATGAATAACTTTAAGGGGAGCTATAAAATGAACTGGTTTTATTTCTCTGACTCAGGAAGTTATTTTAGAAAGAAAGAATACGTCTGAGAAATAAGATGTCTCCTGCCGGGAGTCGATACCAAGACAAGCAATACAGGCACCATGAGAACCATAGATCCGATAGATACAAAGAAGACAGAAGAGCAAGAAAACCATACCCATACAATGCAAGGTATGTCTTTCTCTTCTTAAAGAAATACATCACAGCAGGTCTGTAATATCTGCCTTCTCTGCTTGCTTTTAAATACCCTCATATTACTCAGCCTTGAAATCATGAAGCATGAGCATACCACATTTGAAACACATTTTACACTTAGAAATTTAACCTTTTTCTTTGTATTGAGCTTGAGACGAGGTAGAAAGTTAGGCTCTGTGACACAGGCAAAGATGTGAATTTCTGGTGATTATCTGGGTCACGAGTACATGAAGTATGGCCACAGGTCTTAGTACAGTTCCTGAAGGGACTGGTCAGCAGGTGACAGCAAGCTGGTGCTTGCCAAATATGCATTGCTTAAATGAGAATTTTACATGACTGAGACCAGCACAGGGATTTCATGAGCTCTCAGGTTGCTCTATTTCAGCTGTGAATACATTCCTATTAATCTGAAACAAAATTACTTTCACTAGTCGCAGTCAATAAATGGCACTTGTTTAAGTGTCTAAGGCCGCTTGCAGCACTTGATAGTGGGTCAGCCCCTGTCACCACAATAAGCAGATCAACTAATGGATTTCAAGTGCCAAATAAACTCATAAGATATTACACTTCTCCTTCCAGCCTGGCCAGCCTACAGCATGTAAAATGTGAGCTTCGGCTGGTTTTCTTTTAGATCGTACTCCTGGATGCATTTGTAGGAGAGAGGTCTGTAGATCTAAACAGCATTGGCAAATTGGCCGTGGCAGTAAAGTGTTCATTGCTCCCATTTAGTCTCTGAGGACATGATTGTAAGGGAATTTGAGAAAAAAAGACAAGTAGGGAGAGGAAATAAATATAATGAAGATTATTGAAAGGCTGAAATACTGAAGTACTCCCTGATAATACACATTTTAGCAAGAAAAACAGGATGAGAATAAAAGGAGCAGAGGAGAACACTGTGTGGACTGGAAGGAGTACTTAAGTACTTCTGGCTGAGTATAAAGCTTTTGGATAGTGGTAAGCCTATTGTATTATGAAAATAGTTGATGAATTTTTCTTCTCTCTTAAATTATGAAAAATTGGAGAGAAATAGGAACAAAGGCCACCTTAAGAATCATCCTCAGAGGCTCAATGCCTGTCCTTACCAAAAGCTGAGATTGGCAGGCAATAAATTATCTTGAACATGTTAGAAGTGAGAGCAGCTAATGCCAGTAACACATTAATAGCACTGTGGAGAGTAAAAAGGAAACAGAAAACGGTTGGGTTTTTGGTGTGGCCTTCTTTTATTTTTATGTATAGCATAATATAAGCAATGTGTAAAAGGCTAGCTACAAATTAAACCACCACTTTCTAACAAAGCTAATAAATTTCTAATAAATACTTCTCTGTATTTCTTGGTTTTGCTGTTAGTTTCATATGTCTGGATACATAGACTGAAAATTGGTGGATGGACTGTAAAGACTCACAGATCATTCCAGTACCCACCAGGGATTAGAAGAAGGGAAGCTGCATCTACAGAACTGCAGTAGCCATGAAGATAATTCTTAGAGTCAAGTTGAGAATGTGGGGGGCATCAGATCTCACTAAAACTAATCAAAAAACTTTTTTATCAGTTGTTTTGAAGGGGTTTGGCTTAACCTAACAGCATTTCCCCTGCTTGGTTCTCATGGAGTTCTCATGGATTTTGGTGAAAACTTTGGCTCATTGATCAAAGGACCTCCGGATGCTGTAATGAAATAGATGGGAAGAGTTTTGTGGAAGCTGCAAATTTAGGTGCCCAGAGCTTTCATCCCTTATGAGCAAGACTTTCTAGACATAATATTTCTCTTTCCAAATGCATAAATGTTTGAAACTCCTATGGCAACCTTCGTCTCATTGCTGAGGAGAATTACTTAGAACAGGAAAGTCCTGAAGAAAAACAGGAGCAAAGGTGGCCAGAATAGGCCATAGTGAGGAAAAAAAAGCATCTAAAAAAAGGATTTTTTTTTTCCTAATTGTACTCTGTTGCTGAACATTAGGGGGTTTTTATTTTGATTTTTTGATTTGTTTTGTTTTCTGGCAAGTAGCAGGATACAATAGAGAGAAGCAGCTGCATCAGAAGTACCAAAGGGATTGCTTTCAAGTTACTGGAAGTCTTATAAATCACACAGCTTATTTAATTTATGTGACACAGCTGCACAGGATGCTTTGGTAGTTGCACAAGACACAGGACAAAGGTCAGAAAAATCAGAAATGTTTCAGCCAAATAGAGCTGTTGGCAGCTAAACGCGGAGATGTTAGCATTGGTCTTGTTATTGAATGTCTTAATTAAAATGTAAAAACTACAAAGGACATGATTTAATGTAGATGAATGAGATAATATTGAGTCTGGAATTGGATGAAGATAAACCTTAGTAAAGTGCAATGATACTAGGAAACAAAACTACAGTTGAAAATGCTGATCTGTGGGTAAGACATTCAAGATAAAAACTGAATAGGAAAAAAAGACTTTTAAAAATAATAATGCTGAATGAGACTCAAAATACTCTTTAGTAACAAACTCATCCCAGCTGTACCTTGAAAAAGGCAAGCTCCAATTTTCCTTCAAATGAGGGAGAAAATTTTGATTAGACCAAACACTAAAAAATTTACAGCCAATGTTTCTTTTAACTTGAGCGTTTAACTCCGTTCAGAAGGGCAAATTGCACTTTTCCTACAGAATAATCCAAATCTCATCAACCTTAAAAAACATCAGACTTCAGATGTGGAGCTCTATGTCATTGCAGCAAAATGGACCATTTTGAAGTATATAAATGAAGAGACTAATTAGAGACATGAGAAATTGTTTTTTTGGGGGGTTGCTTTTAGATTCCTTCTCAAAGTTCTTCAAAGACCTCAAGAATTTTAATAGGCTATTTTCCCACTTTAAAATCTTTATCTGTTTCTTGTAATAACTTTTATTCTTTTAAAGGTCATCCTTGTGAGACACAGTAGTTGAAAGTACGAACTTATTATCTGGACTGCTATGGACTAGTTAAAAACGTTTGTTTTTCATGAAAAAGCTGTTGCTCCTCCTTCCTACCTTTTGCTAGTAACCTAAACAGTTTCGCCAGCCTATCCAGTGAGGACATAATTTTCCAAACTAAGGGCCATAGAGTGCAAATATCCTTGTGAACGTGGATTTATGCAAGTATTTGGGATATTTGCTTTCAAAACAGGCAAGAAAAGAGATCAGATGCCTGTGAAGCAGTCTAGCTGCTTCCAGTAAGAGGATGGTTTCTCATGTTCTAATGTTCAAGAGAGAGTATGATCTAATTAACAAACAGTAGTTATTTTCTCATTGTAGATCAACAGAAGACATTGGAGGTGGCCAGCACTCAAGAACTTCTACTGTTTGCTCAGACCCTTATTCTAAAACCTCAGGAGCAGCACGGGAGTATTTTGACCCACAACCAGAGTTTTATCCTCCCAAGGAAACCTTCTCAATGAAGTGTTCAAAGGTATGCACAACAAGAGGTATGTGAGACTCATACTGCTGGCCATCCACCCCTCTCCTTCCAAGGACTTCTCTTGGTTTTGGTTTCTGTGTTTAGAAGCGCAACAAAGTAAAGCTAGAGGAATATTAAAAAAAAAAAAAATCAAACCCAACAACAACAACAAAAGCCCACAAGAACTGGGAGAATTAAAGTTAATGAATGGCATAACTGAGAGTTATGTCATTTTAGACATCTAAAGGCAAGATTTATACAGATATTTAGACACTTGGAAATACGTTTCCAGAATATTCATCCAGAGCATCAGGGTGGGTCGTGTGTATAAGCAGCCGGTTTGTGCCACAAGAGGTTAACCTTTGGGGTTTAGAAATAGAATAGATATTTGCATCTGTAGGCAATTTAAAGATGGCTGCTGAAGGTTTGATGCTAGTTTATTTCTGACACATTCTTCTCAGACTTTTTATAGACTCTGGATTTAATCCAGTCATCACTCATACATCTTTGCAAAGCACCATTGTGGGAGACAAAAGTGTTTTCTGGATGTGAATCCAATAATACAGTTTTTGAGAAATAACTTAAGTTTTTCATAGCTAGGAAGCAACTGCAACAAGCACAGAAATGAGCATTAATGTGGGAAGAAATCAGCCTTAGTAAACGCATTCCCATAAATTAAAAAAAAAAAATCTCTAAAATATCCATTACCCCTTTGAAGTTTTCCTTCTTCCAGGACAGTGAGCATTCTCACCTTGTTTGTAGGAAAGGTCCACTGCAGTCTAAGTTGAACCTTTGCAGCTAAGTGCAAAGTCTTTGGCTGAAGTCTATAAACAGACTTTCAGTGTCCTCCAGTAAAGAGACAAAGAGACAAAGAGTTTAGCTGTTGGAAGTAATTTAAAGTACATAGTGTTAGATTATTTTTTCACTCCATGTAGGAAAGTTAAATAACACACTCAATTCACTCTTAATATTTCTTTATATGTGAATATGTGAACAGTTTTAAGAGTGAGCTGAACTATTTTCTCATTGTGTTCTCTGTATTTGTATGCAGTGTGGTTTTTGTCTTGAGATGTAACTACAACCAATAGTAGAGCACATTTAATAACGTGGAGCCATACTGATTTTTTACCCATGATAAAATTGTATCATCAATTTCTTCTTCAACCATATTGAATTGTTTTAACTTGTCTAAAAAGCTCTAGAAGACTCCATGCTTTATTTTATCACAGCTTTAGAAAAATAAAGTGGCAAATTATTTTTAGTTTTGAGTTTCACTGGTTGTTTAGACTTATGAGTAGCTTAACGTGAATTTCTGGGGTATTTTTCCCTGCATTTTCTTCTTACTATTTCAGTTAACTAAACATCATTAACGTTTTAAAAATGTCCTACATTTGGATGCATCAGTTGACAATGATGATTTCACTTCCACCCCTCCCCCTGGTATTGCTCAGTATTTTCCAAAAATTTAATGTCTGAGCTTGCAGTGGAGGAGGGAAAAGAGAACATGTAGAAAAGAAACCCTTATATATAGTGTTTAATTGTATTTTAGTTTGTTTTTAAATAAAGATAGTGACTGCTAGGACGTAGGGCCACCACAAGACAGTTAGAGTAGGCTGGATAGTTTGTAGGGACTTGAATTTGGGACTTAACTCATGACGTGTCTTTTACCACCGATTTTGGGCCAAATCTTTACCAATTTTGACCAAGGTGGACGGGCCACCTTTACTTAACCTGTAAAAGGAACATATATTAATTATATGTGTTCGAAAAATAGCAACTTTATTTCAAAAAATGAAAATATAGTGGAGGTTGATAAGATTATGAAAATGTTACTCCCCTGTTTAATTTTTGAAAGCACCAGGATTTAGCAGACTTTCCTAGACTTGTTTTGCAGAATTCTGTATTCCCTGAAGTCGTAGTAGATGTCGTAAATGAAAAGCTACATGAATTGTTTACTGAAAAGTCAGTACATGTGAGCTACAACATTTTACAGCATGAGAAGTGCCTGTAAATACTTCTTAACCATCTCTTTCTTTTGCCAATGATTTTTCAGCAGTCTGGTGAAATTCCCCCTTTTCCAGTCACCGTAATTCTAAAATAAATTAGACTCAAACAAGGCTGGGAAATCAGGTGATGTACCACAGTCTTTTCCAGAGTAACAACTGAAATGGGAACCTTAGTTTCTGACCGTCCATTAAGTTGTTGTTTTTTGGTTGGTTTTTTTTCTTTTCCCTAGCACAATTATGTTCTTTGTGCAGTTTAGAAAACTAGGGAGCAATTCTGTACAACCAGAGCTCTGAAAAATATTTGCTTCACTTACATACTACCTTCTTCATTCATGCTTTTTACCAGCAATAGCCCAAAAAGCTAAAGGTGAGTTTCAGAAATAAGCAGTTATTTTTTTAAGGATCCTTTGAACACTTTAGGATTTTACAACACTTTAGGACCTCTTTCTCCTATCTTTGTTCTTTCCCCCCTTCCCTCCCTAATCCCTGGCCACCTTTTTTTTTTTTTTCATTACAATCACATTAGGACAATAAACCCAACCCACATAAAATGGAAGAAACAGTTGATATTGACCTTTTTTGCCAGTAGGAACATTTGATACTATCTAAGAAACTTCAAAACATTCTGCTGTTTTTTAATCCTTTTGTCTTGAAAACAGAAAAGGGACAAAAAAGTCCATTAAAACATTATATGAGTGATACCCATTCAAAGCCATTCAGGTAGGATCACATGGCTGTAGCAGTACTGGATCATACAAGGCACCTGATTACTCATCCTCTCAAACAATGGACTAATGTACAAACTTAGGAGGACCATCGAAGTTTGGACCAGCAGAGAACGAGCTGTCTTCTGGAATACATTCCAGACTTTGGATTGGTGGAATTTCCGGAATTGCAAAACTGCACTCATATCTGTTTTGTTTAACACCTCTTTATAGACCTATCAAATTTGCTGAATTCTCTTCTGAATCCCCTTTTGAATGTTTGGCCTTCACATTGTCTTACCACAAAATGTTCCAGAGCTTCTTTGTGCCACTTGAAGAACTACTGTTTTGTTCCTTAAAACATTTTAAAAAAGGTGTCTGGTGGTATCCACAATACCTAGTGATAATCTCATACATTCACCTCCTCCATGAGATTTATGGTTTTGGAGTGAAGTCTTCCCTTTCTCCCTGTGCCTGTACTCCTGTTGCTTCTTCATAGCTTGAACAGTTCTGGCCTTAGGGAGAACAAAGTCTTCCCAATTTTGGCTAGCTTGCTAGTCTTACACCTTTTCCATATCCACCATATCTTTTGGAGATGGGCTGACCAGAAATGCAGTAAAAATTCCAGATAAGTTCCCAAAAGAATCAGACATCTGCATAGAGGTTCTGGTTATGTAGTCCTGTTCTAATGCTTCCTAGCTTTTTGTGTGGTGTTTGACTATCAGTGAACAGTGAGCTGATGTTTTCAGAGAAGGATACCTGAAGTCTTTCCTGAGTGCAAATACTTGGTTTAGAATCCATCTCTGTGCTATGTAGAGGAGTGTGTGTATATGTGTGTGTGTATGTGTGTTTCTCTACATGCTTGAAGTGTGAGGTTGCTTATCAAGCACTGATTTAATCAATTTCTCATTCAAGAGCTTGAGCTCTCAGCAGCCTACCAATTTTACAGTTGGCAATCGTGAAGATTTTTTTTGGTGATTATTATTACAGCAGACTTCACCATCTCACTTTTCCGTGTTTTTAATTCATTCGTCTGTGCATCTACCATCGTTTTTTGTTACGTCGTTTTTTGCTGCATCACTTTGGCCCCCACTTGCAGCTCTTTGGGCCATATTGCAGAGCAGACCCCGGATGCACAAACTGTGTTCCCCTTGGATAAAACTAAACGAGAGGGTGAGCTGTAACCCGTAGCAGGCACTCTGCCCTTTGGACCAAACTAGAGCCAAAATATAGTACTCCTCTCTCCCCAGAAAACACCTGTCATTTTCCCCTACATCTTCAGCTCCACTTCTTTGACTCTACAGATCCTCCCTTCTTTATTGCTACCATGGGCATACTGCTGACAGGCAACACAAACTAGTGATTAGTCCCTTAACTCTATATAAATGAAAACTGGTTGTTTCCTTTTTATTTTCCTTTAGCCACTGCTAACCTGTGAGAGGATTTTTTATCTCACAGGAGCCTGTGTCATTTAAGAGCACTAATTTTCTTCATGTATCTGCTGATTCTTTCAAATGGCTTCCCTCTAACAGATTTTTGATTAGTCCTGCTGTGCTGTCTTTATGTCTCCTTTCTATATGCTGGGGGATTTTTACATATGTGGGCCTGCAGATTACAGATTCAAAAGACAGTAGAAACACAGAAGTCTGCCACCTTCTGTTTCTACAGTAGTGATGGGGATTTAAGGAACAGCTTATAGACTGGTGTCATACCGTCTAGATGCACTGTGTAATATTATGGGAATTGGAAATAAACTGTTTGTCATAAAGACAAACCATTCATCAACTAAGGAACTCCTGCTTGCAAAGGCCATTTCTTACAACTTACGCACATTAATGCATGCCATTTAAAGCAGCACATGTTGAAAACAACAAGAGTTTTTTGACCTAGGGATACTTAGAGCTGAAATTCTCTCAGAAGGAAAGTATTCAGTTTACTTTTCACAGTGCAGGTAAAAATTCTGTGCTTCTCTCTTTTGTGTAAAAAAACTAAATTAAGTAATCATTTTGCCTTTCAAAGAACCCCCCTTGGGCTAATTGAAAATATAACCAGATTCAGTGCTTTGCTTTAGCAGCGGCAATGAGAAAAGTGTTCAAGGCTGGCTGCTGTGCTGCTTCCTTCATTTTAGCGAGAGTAAAATCTGAGTCAAAGCCAAGAGTGAATTGCTGATCATAAATTGGCCATGGATATTTGGTCACTTGACCTTGAAAACTTTTAATTTTCTTTTTATTATGTATATTGGTGTGAAAGAGGTGGAGCAATGCAATTCCAGGATAATGCCTCCTATACTTTTGCTTAAACAGTGAAGGTAAACTAAG